GCCCCCCACGCTTTTTTTAAAATAAAATACATATTTTTTATTTACACTTTTATTAATTTATATTTATTGAAATTTTTAACACTATTCTTAATTTAAATTTATTTTCTATTTTTTAGTTTGGTTTTCTATAAAAAGCGTGTTTTTAGTTTTTTTTTAACTATTATTTATTTTTTACTTTTTAGTTTGGTTTATTTATAAAAGCGTGATTTTTTAGTTTTTTTAAACTATTATAATTATTATTTTTATTGAATTATTAAATGATTAATTAATTAAATTATTATTTTTATTAAATTAAATTTTCAGTAAGTAATTTATTGATTAGTGAGAATAAAATAATTATTTATGAATATTATAAATACGAGGAATCAGAGTTCGATTTCGGAGAGGGAGCCTGAGAAACGGCTACCAGAACCAAGGAAGGCCGCAGGCGCGCAAATTACCCACGGAGAGTTACATACTGACATACAAGTGAAGCTAATATAAAAAGCGTGTAAAAAAAAATATTCATATTTCGCGACACCCTACACTAGTAGAAAAATTAATTTAAATCAATAAAAAAAATTTTGGTCTCAGAAAATCAATTTAAATAATAATTGACCAAACAGAATAATTTTTTAACCTAGTACGTTTACAGAAACCAAGAAAAATCTCTTGGTTTAAGAATTCTTCTGCTTAGTTAGATTGATTAATTCTCCACTTTATTCTTCATTTATTGAAACAAATTAATTTTTTCATCAGTATGTATTAAATTATTAATCACAGTAAATATTAAATGTAATTTAGCAAAAAATGTATGTTTTACAGGTTTGGTTCCAAAACCGGAGAGCCAAATTTCGCAGAAATGAAAGAAGTAGAGGTGCGTCTTCAACACGAGATATTGAAACAACTTTACCGCTACGACCAATAAGGATAGCATATACTCACGAAAATACACCAGAAACTTTACAATCTCCTCCTCAAGTACCTCAATATTCGTATAGTGAGTACTGGAGATCTTCACAGAATTATGGTTTTGTGAATGGAAATCTCAATAATGTTAGCTTTCCATCGTATCATCAATCAGAAGTCCATGGAAGTATCGAAGGAACATCAATGAATAGCTTGAGCAACCTTAGATTAAGAAGCCATCCCTACAGCGCTAGTTATTCAGCAATGCACGCCAGTATGTGACTTACTAGTACTTATAATGAATTTAAATGCTAAGAAGTGCCTAAAAAAAGGATTCATTTTATTGTTCATAAGTTGAGTAATAATGCCAAAGAGTTTTCTTCAATTTTCGTCAAAATATATTATATAATTCGCATCAAAACAATCACATGATGATTCATTAGATAACTCTACAATTGCATTGTTTTTGGCTATTTTTAATGAAACAATAAATTTTATTAATTTTTTTCTGTCATGTTTATGTTTTTAAAAATATATGATAGTAAAATTTTATTAAATTAAATAAAAACTAGTAGCAAGTTATACTTATTGCAAATATATTTTAATATAATAATTTGTAAATTTTTTTTTATAAAAATTATTTAAGTAAAATTAATTAAATAATAAATAAGATGTGTACTATACAATTTAAAAAAATATAATGAAAAATTTTCTAACAATGATATATGACTATAAACAATATCAAAAAAAATTTTAATCAACAATGCGATAAATTAATTTTTTTTTTTATAATTTAAAAAAAATTTTCATTTGTCGGCTATTTATAAAAATCATACATTATCTTTTATTTTTTTTTAATTTCAGATAGGTAGAAGGTAAATAAAATAAAAAATTTATCTAAAATTTTTTGACTTTTTTCTTTACTATATTTTGATGTTACAAATATTGAAATTTTTGACATTTAACAAAATCTCGAAATATTTTTATTTATTGTAAAATAACACTCTTTCAAAAATACTCAGACATTTTATAAAATTCTTTTTTACAATAGCGATATATTGAAATAAACTAGTTTATAATACAAGATCCGAATTTATGAAACAAAAAAAAACTTCATTTAAAAAAAATGATAAATTTTGAAGTAAAAAAGAAAATGTTTTCAAAGAAAATTCAAAAACAAAATCGTAAATTATTATGTAATAACCAATTTTTCTATGTATAAATTCGTCTCAAGTTAAGTATTTCCATGATATAAATTAAATATTTTTACTAAAACATTTACTCAGTGATTAAGTATTTTATTAATTAAATATCAGTTATTAGTTGCCACATTAATACTGTGGTCACATGAAATAGAATGTGTAAATGAAATAAATAACACAAAACTGTGCAAATTAATCATATAAAGGATTATTCTAAATACTAAGTGTACAAATAAATTATTTGCGTATCAACACCAACTTATATTACTGTTGTTATTATTATTATTATTATATTTTTAACAAATAAAAGTTAGAAGATAAAAATTTTAAATAGAAATCTGATAGATTATTAAAAATTATGACGTTGGCACAAGATTAGAATATTGTGTAAGAAGTCTTGTAAATTGCATAAAATTTTGATTCGGTTTTTAATGTTACAACATTATATGAATATATTATTTGTTTATATTTATATGGATAAATCATTGAATTATTGGTTAGACTTGCTGTAGATTCGAATTTAATCCAATCCGTCCGTAATTTTTTTTATTTTTCTTATCTCTCAGGTTTCCTCCCGAACTCTTAATTAATTGTGTATGACAACCCTCGTATTGCGTGAACCGATCAAATTATTATACGCACTTATAAATATGTGTATTGCTACGAATGCCAAAAAGGCGAACGAAAAAAAAATTTTTTTTTCCTCAATCAGGTTAAGAGTATACAAATTTGCTGAAAAAATTTCACTTTCATTTCAAATTTCCAGATTTAGATATTTTAACTTTGAACTTGTTGGTACAAAAATTGAAAATTTTCGAAAATTCGGAAAATTATTGATTTCAGTTAAATTAAAATAAATAAAATTTTTATCAAATTTTGACGTTTTGACTCAAACCCAAATTAATAACTTTATCAACTTCTGAAAATGTGAAACTTTCGTATTAAGAAATCAAATTTTTCAATTTCTTAAAGCGAAAAATTGAAAGTGAAAATTAATTTTTACACTTCTTACATTTCCAAGTTGATTAGAAAGAACAAATTTTTTTATATACCCTTTTGGTAGTAGCAAGACGATATAATCTTTTGTCACTTAAATTATACATTATTAAATAGTTACTAAGACATTTTGTACGACATTACTCCAGTCAACTTTGGATGGGACTAAATAAAATGCTGGTGCAACTTTAGCACCACAAGGACATTGACAACCAGATATCCAACTAAAAGAACCAAGTTTAGTTTCACATTTTGGACAATTAAGTTTTCCTTCAACATTATGTATAATATCTCTCATCCATGCCAATGGTTCTATAAAATGAGTTTTTGTACATGCTTCTGTTGAATTACTTGTACCATCTTTTTTATGTTTTTCAATTTTAGCTAATTTTTGGATTTGTTTGGGTGATAATCCATCATATGTTTTGTTGCCAATATATCGCCAAATTTGTCGCTCATTTGGAAAATGAGGCAGTAAATTACTAGCGCTTGCAACTACTCTCCTACATCTTTTACAACGGTAGACAGTTGGTTCTGGACGGACTGTGGTCAGTTGTGGATCTGGTTTTATTAAATCTATAAAATTTGAAGACAAAATTTTAGCTTTACGAATATGATCAGCAGCTAATTGAAGACGATACATTTTAAATTCAACATTACGGTTGTCAATAGTAAAACCCATAGTTTCATATAATTTTAATTGCGCTATAAAGCCAGGATTAGGGCCAACAAAACGTCTTTTTGACTTAACTAATTTATAAGCATCTTCATAAGTCAATTTATGTTTTTTCATAATGTAAGCAATAACCAGCGTCGCTGATCTTGAAACACCAAAATAACAATGGACTAGAACTTTTTTATCGTTTTGCAATGCGTTATCAATAAATTGATAGGTATCTTCAAAAAATGTCAAGATATTTTCTCTAGGCATATCCGTTATTTGAATAAATTTCAAATTTATATTAGGAAGTTGTTCTACTTGTCGAGGTAATGGACATGAGTCGACTGTAAGTATATGACTTATTTTAGTATCTTTTAACCATTTTATGTCTTTTGCAGCTGTAAGATTTCCAAGATATAAATTTGGTTCTATTTCGTCGTAGCTTGATGGTCCAGCATCAAAATCTTCTCGAGTTAATTCATTACTATCATTATTAGCCATTTTTATTGTCCTAAAATAAATGGTAATTATCTATTAATTTGATAGTGCATTACATACAGTTATATTATTATATTATAAATTAATTAATTAAAATTATTACCTTCACTTTATGTCCTTCGTATCACTCTTTTGTGTTTGAATAGTTTTTTGTTTCTAATCACGTTCAAATAATAAATTATTTTTTGCAAATAAAATTAGTTATAAGAAATTTAATACTTTTCAATAATAAATATTACAAAATTCTTCAACATCAATGGAGTGTACTTAATTCAGTATTTTTTGTGCTTCATACTATTCTAGGTCACTTAAAAATTGCTCTTTCCTTCTACCTGTATCTAACAGAAAATTAAGTCTTTTCATAGTTATTGATTCTTCACATTATTATGAACATTCCCATAAAACAATTTTCTTTCATAATTAATTTAAATCACTTATGTCCATTGAATATATATTTAATAACAATATTTTATTGGTTAAAAAATAAATTTAGAATTTTGCTTAGTGTTAACTTAGATTTTCAATAAAAAATTTTAAATATATTATATTTTTTAAAAATAAACAATTCTATAAAACAAAATTGGTGAATAAATAACATTTTTAAAGCTCATTTTATTTGAATATTTAACAAACACTCTAAATAACAACAATGCACTACTACAGTCCGACAGGTGTTTAAAAATTCATACTTTTTTTTTTATTTAGATCTAAACATGTGTACTCACGTATGTATACTCTCTGTAGATGGCGCTGTTTATTTAAGCGGTAAGAATATTAATATTTAAATGATTTTTTATGTTCAATCTGTTAAATTATTGATGAAAATGTAAAAAAATTGAATGAAAGTTCTTATAAAATAAACAAGAAAAATAAATCCATTCTAAAGAAACTCGTGATATTTTTTTTATTATATTTAGTGGTTTTCTAAATTAAAAAAAAATTAATGCGAATTCATGTTATAGACATTGGATATTTAAAGTATTGATAAGTAATTTAAAAATTTAGGTAGTTATTTTTAAATTCTCTAATAAATATGGATTTTTTATGTTTCATGTATTAACATTTTATTTAAGTCAAAACTGCTAGTTATAACAAAAAAAAAAAAACCTTATTTGTGAAACAAATTTCATATGAAACACTTTTTTGTTAAGAGGCATATTTATTTATGTTCTTTAGTATCAATACTTTAAAACAAAATACGGCGAGTAAGGAAATTTTAATTGAATATTAAAATTTTTCATCAAAATAATATAATTCATACAACTCATAAAAACAAGCCAAAATGAACTAAAGTTTTTTAATCACAATTGTTTACTTTTGTAGTCGAGCTGAACTTGATATTTATTACGGAACTAAATATTTTTGATAAATTTTTAAATTGTCATAAAATTAAAAAAAATTCCTGATCATAAATTTATTTAAAAAAAAATCTTTAATATTTTGTAGGTATTTTGTGAGTATCTACATAATTACTTGATTGTTAAATTGACTTAGAATATTCATAAAATTTAGATCCTTATTTCCAACTTTTACTATAAAGTAAATTAACAGTATACTTTGAATTCAATTACTTTCAAATCAATTCGTTGTTATAACTTCTGTAAAAAATCGATGTAATCATTTTTATATAATGTTATACATCCAACATTTAAATATTTGTCACAGAATCGTTAATAAACAAAATACAATAAGCATAAACAGTAGATTTTAAAGACCGTTCCAATTCAGCTAATTTAAAAAATATTTTTTACTTAATTTTTAAGTGATATTACTAAAGAGATACGATGATTGAGAGTAAAAAAAATAATAAAATATTTTAATTGTGTTAACAGGATTTATTTCAAAAATAATTTAAGCAAAATATAAAACCTTTTTATAAGCCAGTATAAAAATTTAGGAAGTGATATGTACTTATAAATTTTAATTTTGTGACAAATCCGTTGGTTGCGGTACTATACGCAAATATGGTTTAGTCGAAGGCAAGTTCAATATTTTCAACTTTTCACCGTATAATTCTTTGGCCGTTTCATTAGGTACGCTAGGCTGAACCATTACATCTTCACCCATCTATAACACCCACAATAATATAGTATTATAATAAATAATCGGATGAAAGATAAAAAATATTTTCGTTAAAAGATGAAATTATACCTTCCAATCAACAGGAGTTGCCACTGAATATTTATCAGTCAACTGGAGAGATTCAATAACTCTTAAAATTTCACTATAATTATACATAATAATTAATAAATAATATTAAACCAAATATAGAATATAAGATGTGAATTGAAATAAATAATAAAGACAACATACTCGAAGTTTCGCCCAGTAGTTGCTGGATATAAAATTGACAAACGCATTTTCTTGTTAGGATCTACGATGAATACTGCTCGTGCTGATAAAGGAAGTCCATTACTGTCTAGCTCATCAGGATCTAACATTCCCAGAGACGTAGATAATGTACGAGATTCATCTTCTATTATTGGATATGGAAACTGTTCCACAGAAGTTTCAGCGTAGCTTTTAATATCCTTAATTAATTAAAAAATCATCAGATTAAAAATTTAATAGAAAGAGTTTTTATAGAAATTTTCTAAATCTATGAATGCAATTTATATAAAATATCTAAGTCATAATTTATTATTCAAACAAAATCAAAAAATAGCCGGTGTTGGTGCATTTAAGTATCATAGATATTTTTACTTGATATTATTTAAAAACTTTTTGAAGTATCTAAAAACTTTCGAGAATTGTTAATATTTTGGGGGAAAAAAATATTATCTTCAAAAAGAAATAAAAAATTTACCTCAATCCAATTTATATGACTTTCAATGGAATTGCAAGACATCGCAATTACTTTTATACCGAGCCGTTTAAACTCCGGCATTAATTGGACAACACGAGCTAATTCAGTTGTACAAACCGGCGTAAAATCACTCGGATGAGAAAATAAGACACCCCACCTAAATAAGTTTAATGCGTTAATTAAGCAAGCAATAATATTAATAAATTATTTGCATACATTTATCATGATGTAATTTTAATCACTTACGAATCACCCAGCCATTCATGGAATTTAATAGTTCCTTCAGTGGTTGATGCTGTAAAATTTGGAAAAGTTTCACCCAACAAGACCATTTTTAATAATTAATTTTCCAAATCTATGTCTAAAATTATTTAGTAGATGTCAAACAAATATTAAAAAAAATAAAAGATAGTTATACAGGGAGGTAACTAATGGTTAAACAACCGCTAAAAATCTAACCTATTTTATACAGATATAGTTAGATATTTACAGAAAAAGCCGCGCGGTGGAGAAAAAGTAATTTCTTCAAGATTATCTTCAATAATTTTTTATTACAAAACAATTCTCAATTTTATTTATTTTATTACTACCGGCATAATTATTTAGAATACAATTTTTTTCCTACTATTATTTTCCTCTAAATAAAAAACGTATATCGATTTAAAAAAAATTCTTTAAAGGTATAAATAATTTATAAAAAATCTTCACTTTTCGTTCCTAGTTGAAATCTGAAATTTTTTAATTTTTATAAAACTTAAATTGAATTTAAAAAGTCAAGATTTTGTAAAATTTAAATTCTTTGCAAAAATTTAATGAATATAATGAATAATAATTAGACGTTAAGCATCATAAAAAATTGTTTCTCGATTTGTAAAGAGGGATTATAGTAAAAAATTAAAAAAATTAATTAATTATTCGAAAATAGTCATCATCAGTAAAAATGAGCAAACGATATAGTGAGTGAAAAAGACATCATTCGCACAAACTATATAAAGCCGAGATACTACCTTAGATGATAAAACTTCAAATTTACGTATGTAGTATACACATATGTATATAGATAGTTTGTAAGCGCATGTGCAAAATGAATATTTTATATCTTTTATAGTCTTGAAGTTGGTCTCTCTTTTTGTTGATCGGATCGTACAGTTTTGAGAGAGAAAAATTTTAAGATTGAATTTTTTTTTCTTTCTTGAGAGTGAGACCAGCAGCATAATGGCAGCAATTGCGACAACAGATCCCGGTGATAATTCACAGTTTCACAGAACGTTAGTGAAACAATTTAGAAATAAAGCAATGGAATTCTTAAGTTCTAAAAAATATGCAAATAACCTTTTTGATATACTCAGCCAATGGAAAGTAAGTTAATATAATAAAAAAATATTTTCAACACGAGGTTATGTTCTTAACTTTTTTTTTTTTTTTTTTTTTTTTTTTTTTTTTTTTATAATTATAAGATTTAATATTTACAATTAATAATACTTAATTTAAAATTTATTTTTAGAATTCCACTAATCTGTGTATGATAACTTTAGAGACAATTTTTCTAGAGGTTTTAAGAAGAGACTACATGTACTTGGAAAGGACAATAGCAATTACTATTTCCGGTAAATATATTATAATGATAATTAATTGGCTTTTTTATATTTAACATGACTATCATTTAACGCTGAAAAATTTTTTTTGTGTCAGCTAAAAAATATATTTTCAATTAAAAATTTTATTTTTTAATACTATATGTTTATTTTTTTTTATTTTATCTAGAACCAAGTCCAGAAATTAAATACATTAATTGGTTAAGAGAATACTATGAAGAAACTTGGTCAAAAACCTTATCATGTTTTGAAAGTGATAGAACAGTAATACAAAATCAAGCTTTAACAACTGCAATTAATATGATGGCACAAGAAGGAAAACACCCAATTGATGCACGTGAAAATCATGCGTATTTTTTCCCCGTACACCGATTAAAATCAATTCTCATGGCACTGTTGTCACCCGATCAAGACAACACGCATCTTATATCAAAATTTGAAGAAACACTCGAATACAAAGATGCTTTATACTACACATTAAAAACACTTCCATCCTTAACTCCTAAAAGACAACCACATAAATTATTTATTAAAAATCTTTTGGAGCTTATCAACAGATTGGCATTGGCTAAAGAAAATGCATACAACGCAACTAGTGAAAATCAAAAATTGTTATGCCATTTACCCAATTCCCCAGTGAATTTTACATGGGATCAATCCTCAGCCAAAAAATCTTTGAACAAAGTTTGGGGATGTATCATGCACTGGGAATTAACGCCTCAACTCCACAAATTGCTGTTAATTGTTCTTGTTGAACGGGTAATTCAACATTTAGAAAAACCGATATTACTAACAGATTTTTTGATGGATTCACTAGATGTTGATGGCCCGATTGGAGTTCTTGCTCTTAAAGGTGTTTACGAACTCGTCACAAAGCATAATCTAGAGTATCCCAATATTTTTACTAAACTTTATGCCATGTTCGAGCCGGAAATTTTTCATACCAAATATAAAGCTCGACTTTTTTATCTCTCTGACTTATTTTTACAATCTACGTAAGTTATCACTCAAAATTTTTTTTTTTTTTTTTTTATATTTAAATTAAGAACATCAAGTTATATATAGATTTTATATTATTTTGTTTTCCACTTTTCAGACATTTACCCGAAGCACTCGTTGCAGCTTTCATCAAACGTTTAGCTCGTTTAACCCTCGTTGCTCCTCCGGAAGACATTATGATTATTTTAGAATTTATTGGTAATCTTCTATTACGTCACCCTGGTCTAAAGTGTCTTATAGATCATCCTCATGGTGGTGAATTATCCGATTATCCTGGTGTAGGAGATCCTTTTCTCATGGAAGAACGTGATCCTCTACAAAGCAACGCTTTGCTCAGTAGCTTGTGGGAAATTCGTGCTCTCCAACATCATGTTTTGCCAAGTATAGCAACAAAAGCAAGATTTATTAATAATCCTCTGTCTTCTAAAGAACATGATGTGACCGCTGCGTTAGACAATACTGGAGAAGACATTTTCAATAAAGAAATTAAAGATACTGTCAAAGATATAATGTTAACATTTGAACGGCCGCATTCTATGTCATTACCGAAAGGAGAAAGGCTATTTCAATACTGGCAATTATGAAATGTGCATTGAGTGATTGTTTTACTTATAAAAAAATAATGGTAATTGATAATTCTATATCGAAACAATTATTCTAGCGGGTACTCATTGAGTACGCATGATTGATAGAATGTATTTTCCATGTTTATTAACAGTTATTAATAAGCTAAGTAATCTCAGTCATTTCAAGAGTACTCGTTAGTAGTATATCTATTGAAAGAAAATGATTTAAACTTTTTAAAAATTCCATCTTCAGTAATTTATACAAGATTTTTTTTTGTTTTTTTTTTAAATTTGTGCGGCTGTGAACCATCCGTTATTAATTTTAACAATTATTAAAATTCAATCAATAATTATTATTATAATAAGTTACAACAAACATAACCACTTTTGTTTTGATAATTTTGATTTATTTTCTAATTGAGTTATTTAATTATAAAACGCATGTATCTTTACAATTAAGTATGTCGATACATTTATTTAATTTAAATAGATAAATTACGATAGTTGTTTTGTTGTTTGTAAAAACATTTATAACCACGTATAACAGATAATAAAAAATTTAATTTAATAACTATTAACTTAATTATTTATGTTAAAATTATTGTAAAGCTGTAAAGTAGATATAAAAACTTTTTATTAATTCTTGATGAAATTAATTCATCATTTACAAACTAACTATAAAAACGTTTAATTTAGATGGTTTTTTTTATTTTATTTTATTTTATTTTTTTTTTTTTTTTTTTTTTTTTATAAGTATTCATATAGATTTTTTATATATACATAATCGGACCCATTGAGAATATCAGTTGACTTAAACTATTCTGTTGTCCATCATCTGTAAATATAAAATAAAAATAAATAATTGAGTAAAATAATTTTTATGTACTTGGTGTCAACAAAACTTTATCTTTTATTTACCTCAATGAATTGACGCCATTCGTTTTCATCCAATGCCTGTTTTATTTTTACCAAAGTGTTATGAGGAATATTCGGTTTAGAAATATTAGTGTTATTACTCGTTATTGATATGTATTGAATATTAATCAGGTCACAAACTGATGGTCTTTCTTTTGGATTATAATTCAAACATCTTTTAATAACATCTATCAAAATTGAAGGTATTGGTTGTGAATTAGGTGGTAGATCAAATGATATTTTAGTTGACGGATTTGTAATAGCTCCAATTTTAGCCCAATTTTGACGAATATGTTGAAAAGGAGTGTAACCAAATACTAAAGAATATAAAATGCATCCAAGAGACCAAACATCAGACTTGTAGCTAATTTTGTATTTACTGTTTTGATGTGATGTTTCATCAACATCCATCAATGCTTCAGGACTAATGTAATTTAGAGTACCAACAGTTACATTTTTTATAACTGATGTCATGTCACCGTGAACTGTCGAAGCAATACCAAAATCAATGAGTTTTAATCTACCTCGTACAAGTAAAAAATTAGCTGGTTTCAAATCTGAATGTATAACACCGTGATCATGGATATATTTAACAGCTGTTAACATCTCAGTCCAGTAGTACAATATCATTGTAACTGGTAATTTTTTTTCAGCACAAATTGTTTTGATAAATTTACTCAAGTCCGTATCACCCATTTCCAAGACAACATAAATAGTTTGCCCTATTATCTCATAATCAAACATTTGTACAATGCATGGAGCTTGCAGCTTACAAAGCATATTTATTTCTTGAATGGAACTTTGCATATTTTCTTTATCCATCCGTGATAAATCAACAACTTTAATAGCTCTCAATTCAAATGTTTTTAGGTCTTGTACACGATAAACATTTCCACTCATTCCTTGACCTAAGAAACCTAGAATCATATATTCTTTGTTTTTAACAGTAATTGTCTTTCCGTGTTGAGATTTTTTCGTACTTGAAGGTACTGATGCTTGAATTTTGACATTATCAACCGTTGAATTTTTATTTATATTCTCACGTGCTGCTACAGATTCATGGGTCACTGTAGGTCTATTACTTGCGTGTCTTTCAGAAAGAGGTTTTGTCAATATACCTTTTGATTCACTTGGGTGTTTTTCAAGTTCGTAATCAGTACGTCGTGATTGATGATTAACTTTATAAGTATTAGGCATATGATCTCCCATGGTATGTCGTTTTTCAGTGGAATAAGTATCAGAGATATGTGTTGTAGGCTTATTCTTTAACTCGCCTCGATGTTTATCAATTTCGTATTCATTATGTTTTGATAAATTACATATTGGATAGTTCTTAGATACATATTCACCTGTAGTATTCTTTTTTTCAGTGTTATAATGATCAGGAATAGGTTCTGCTGATCTACTTCTTGACGTAATAAAATGTTTTTGAGTATCATTCTCCGATGACTGAAATTTTAATTCAGCTTGACTTATTGAAATGTCTCGAACAGGTGGCTGTCTATTTTCTTTAAAGTCACTAACAGATGAAACAAGTGATAATTTTTCAGGAATAGTTTTCAAATGTTCACGACTCTGATTCTCGTTAATCTCAAGAGTTTTTCCATGTGATGGTAAATTTTTAACCGATGCTCGACTTTCTGACGTCTCTGCTAATGGTCTTCTGGCTCCTTTTACTGAAGAATCTGAATTTCTTTGCCTATTAAAAAAAAAAAAATAAATGATAATTAAAAATTAAAAGTAGTAATTATAATGAAAATATAATATCATTACCATTGTGAATCTCTTTTAGAACTAAGAGATTGTCCGGGAGTCTGACCAGAGCCAAGCATTCTATTTTGTAAGGGTGTACTCATCATATTATTTTGCGTCCAATGAGAAAATATAGTTGCTGGTGTTTGAATATGAGATGAGTTAACATAATCTCCAGATGTTTTATTTTGTGGTGTTTGAAATAAATTTTTGTGTGATACTGATGGTACTGGTCTCGAACTACTAATTGGAGGATTTTGCTTCAGTGGAGTTTTTGTTGCTAATTGATTTGACAAACTTTGATATTGATTAGTAAGTGGCTGACGATCTAAACCAGTAGTAGATTCGATCTTATAACTTAAGGTAGATTGAACCCGCCTTTCTTGAGTCGAATGAATAACATTAGATGCTTCAGACATGATACTAGGTTGTTTCATGATATAATTTGAATTTGATAAATTAGAATTTGACTTAATAATTGTTGATAGTCCAGACACTTGAGCTGATAAAATATTTGACTGCTTCTGCACCGAATTATCCGATTGATTAGAAGACAATGAAGCTGTAGAAGAAATATCTTCTTTGGCTAAGTCTGATGGTGAGTTACTGATGAATAATTGTTTAGATAATTTTAAATCATCAACATTATCATTCGAGTACTTATAATCTTGAAGCCTATCATGATTTGGTCTATTAATGTTAGAACTTTTAGATTGAATAAAATCTGGAACAGTTGCCATTGAATTTATTAATGAACTATGACTGCCTTTTGCTAAATCAATTTTTTTCATACCAGAATCATGAATATTCACAACAGTTTGGGGTGATTTTTCATTGTTTGAACTATACTGGAAATCTGGATCTCTTATATATTCATTCTCGTCTGGTGGTAAAGACTGACAATCATATAATTCAGACTCTCCAATATCATCATCGAAATTTTTAGTTTTTTCGCCGCTGTCGTCGTCATGACCATCATCATCGTCGTCATCGTCATCACATAAGTTCATGAACTCTTTTATTCTAACAGGTTCTGATTTACATCTTGATAAACTTTGATGACTTACAGTACCTGCAGTTGAACTATTTTGAACACTCAATGAATCGTTTTTCAGTTCTTGACTCATATTTAAACAAATTCGACAACACAATAGTTAATAAACTAAAAAAAAATGTAAATTTAATTGTTAATTAAATTAATCACTGGGTTTATCTTAGTATTAATTTTGGTTGTATGAATAAATAAATAACGAACAGAAGTTGTGTAAGAAAAGCAAATAAAAAAAACTTTCTCTTGTCTTTGTTTAGGAAAATGCATCTCTCAGCACCTGTCCTTAAACAAAATAATACTTTTCAAGTGGGTTGTTGGTACAAAAACCTCATAGTTTATACTAGTAATTACATATATTGATAAAAATGACTTTTTTTTTTACGAGTGGATATTCAACTTGACTTTTAAAAGCTAAACACAAATATTGTTGATGTTATGACAACACTGAAAACTGAAAATAGTGAGGCTATTGTACCGGTTTTTTTGTCATCTGTAGAGAAATTTAAATTCTCAAGATGAATTATGATTGGCTTTCTGTAAAAGTATCACAGGCAGATGGCGTGACTGTAGTCATCTAAGAACAGTTTTTGTTATATTTCAAAATTGACTTAATTGACTTGGGTATTTATTTGTAAACAAGGCTTACAATTCTGATTAAGATCAACAGATATTCGGTAGAATCTGGCGCCAAGTTCCGTTCTCAAGCCAGACTACCGAGTGTGTATATACCGTAATAAGCAGAACGGTTTTTTGAGGTTACAAATTTTTTTTCAAATTTAATTTGATTTTTTTTTTATATGATATTTTATAATAGTAATTCATGCTTTTTATTACGCGTATTACTTGATTATTATCAATTATCTTTATAATTTCTATTTAAAATTATTAAAAATAATCAGCACAAACTATAGCGACCCAGATTTTTAGATTTTAACTTTTTTCTTATGTAAAAAGCGGACGGCCAGAGACTAAATAATATAAGGATGCATGCTAATCTTATAATAGATGAGAGAAACTACAGTGAAAGAAAGATATTTGACAGCTTGCAATTACACACGCCAGACGGCGCAAGAATAACTTTTACATGAACTATAGCTTAAAGGGGATAGTTTCTAGTTTGCCACCGGAAATGCATTGAATTAAAATTGTCAATTTTTATTATAATTACAAAAAATACTAAAATCCGAACAAAAACAGTTTCACTGTAAAAAAAAATCGCGCCAAGTCCACGTTCATAAGACTATTAAAAAAAAAAATTTTATTTCTTTATATGAGAGATATAAAATAAAAAATCCAAGTAATCGATATGGTTGTATATGATTTTCGGAAATTAAAAAAAAACTTTTTTGTAAATTTAAAAATTAAAAGAAACAATTATGGAACGTATTTAGTGTGCGTGGTTACGAAATATTTCACTTTTTATGAAATTCCAAAAATCTATCTACTAGGACTTTTAAAAAAAAATTGAAGTACACAATGACGCACACCAAGTACGTTCCAAAATTGTTTCTTTTAATTTTTAAATCTACAAAAAAAGTTTTTTTAATTTCCGGAAATCATATACAACCCTATCGGTTACTTGGATTTTTTAATTTTTTAATTTTA